AATTACGATGTTTTTATGGAAAAAACTGAAATATTTATCTGTTAATCAACAAAAACAAACGATCAGCTGAGATTTACTTTTTTATCTTTTTATAAAGAGGGAACAATTCTTAACAAAATCCTATAGTCAGATTTGGGAGTCACTTTTATGACCGTTTATCGATGTTGAGGGACAGTGTGGTCTTAGAGCCTCCAAAGTCCTTGGGGGCTGAGGTAGATTTCCTAGCCTTCTACCCATCACATCTCAAACATGTTCTATTGGCGAAAGGTCGGGGGATCTGGCTGGCCATGGCATTAGATTCACATGGGCCTCTTCAAAAAAGTTTAAACTAACTCTGGCAACATGAAGCCGCGCATTATCTTGTTGAAATATTGGATCCACAAGCCGATTAAGATAAGGGAGAACATACGGCTCCACTACTTCCTGAAGATAACGTTGCGCTGTCATGTTGCCTCTAATAAAGACTAGAGGTGACCTACTTCCATGAGCAATAGCACCCCAAACCATAACGCCTACTGTTCGGTGTACATGACGCTCAACATCAAACTGAGGTTGACGTCTTTCTCCCCACGTCGTCTGACCCTTCTTCGGCCGTCATGTTCATATAAGCATATTCAGGATTCATCAGAGAAGACGACTTGATGCCATTCCACGTTCCAATGTTGTCACCACTGTAGTCGTTGCCGTCCATGCACAACGGTCAGAGGTAGCACAAGATGGGGCCGATAGTGCTGCAGTCCAAAAGACCTTATACGGTGGTAAACCGTTCGGACACTTAAAAGCATATACTTACCATATACAGATCATTTTGAATTCAGGCTGTTTCCTTTTCGTGGCGTTATAGTAGGAGCTAGCTACTTATGCAGTTTTACACATGCGTGGGGCCGTGTTGTCAGATGTAATTATATTCTAATAAAATTTTCGTTATTATAAAAATATTTTATATTGCATAATTTATAAAGAATTAATAAATTATGTTTTTAAGTATTAATAATAAAAAGAAGTATTATTTTTTTAATTTTATAAAAATGTTTTTAGCATTAGAAATTTGGCTACGTCTTATTTTATCTTATCTTATCTTATTACCCAAGGACTTATTGCCAAGGAGATTATAATCGAACATTTTGGTCACAGAACAAACCATTTTTGGTTTATTGTTTACTTTGTTTTGAGCTTTTACGATTTTTGGACCTTTTTTATTTCTGTTTTGGAATGTTTTACATAGATATTTACATGGATTGTACTTCTTAATTTAATTTAGAATAATTTTGTTCATTTAGGGTTGGGATTTTTTAGATTTAGATTAGGCTAGTATTTTTCGTTTGTAAACAAGTTTTATTATTATTAAACATTTTCTATTTTATTTAAAATATTCTAATAGGTTAAATTTAATATTAATATTCGATTTAAAATTTTAATCGAATATAACTATAAGAATTAAGTCAAGCAGCTTATGTTCTGTTAAGCAGCATCCACAGTGTGGATTCCACACCCTCAGTATTATTAATATCATGGGCACTTAAAGAATTATTAGGTACCAATACAATTTCAAATCCCATACAATTATCTCATTTCCAATTCTTGACCAAAAATATAATAACTTTTACAGCAAAACAGTTCGCATTTTAAAACTAGTTTTCTAATATTTTTTTAATATAACCAATTCTTAAACTGACATTTGGATTTATTCATAACCAACAAACATTATTGATTTTTTAATCTCCCACTTTTGAACTGCACGTGCGCAAAAGGTAGAGAGTCCCCTTAAAAACGTGAACAAGGTCATCTATTCAAAATATAGGGAATAAGCGGTATATGTGTGGTAAGTATATGCTTAAAAGTCGGCCTTGTTCTCCTAACCACTCATCAGCCAAAGATCGAGTTGTCGAAAATCGGTCTCTGAAGGCCATAAGTCTTAGACGTCGATCTTGAACTTAATTTGTGCGCCTTTGACATCCAGTGCCTACTCTTCTCCGGTTTTGGGCATTATCAAACCACGCTTGACAACATCTCATTACAGTAGTTGGATTTCTGTTAGTGCGGTTGCCGATTTCACGAAATGTAAAACCCGCCTCCCGGAGACCAATAATTCGGCCTCTTTCAAATTTACTCAGTTGGCGATAAATTCCGCGTACTCGTGCTCTAGGAATTTTAACATTACACAGAGAAAAGTAATCTCTTGATTTAAGAAAATGCATTTATTTGAAACAGTTTTTCTTGTATGAAGTAAAATTGTCTTATTCGTAGTAACTTCTTGTTTACAATAAGAAAATACTATTATTTGGTTGTAAATCATGAGTTTCTTGAAAACAACTTATTATTGTGATTAATTGTAAAGAAATATTTATTTAGAGCAATTAATTAAATTGTTTGGATATAGGTTGTATGGATTTAGTTTTATCAAATGTTAATACAAGCATATAATATCTTATTTTAACAAAATAATAGAATTGATACAATGTATGTTATATAATTAACGTAAACAAGTGATTTGTTTGTTTCAAAAATACATTTACTTGAAACAAATACATATTTATTTGCTTTTATGCCCACGTGACTCGCGGAGCCAATTAGAGCATTTGACTCCAAAGACAAAGACGCTTGTCCGGCAGCCGGCAGCCGGCAGCATTTGCGTGAAGACTCTTAACTTAAGAGAAGGAGGTGTTTAATCAACGGTTATAGTTTTGTGTTTCAGTGCTTATGTTTAATAGTATGGAAGAATTCTTTAAAGAAAATAATTTAACCCATTTGCTTTTTAGTTTTGTTGGTAAGTAAAAGTGATTTAGTTAATTAAAATTTTGTGTACCTACACTGTTTAAAATATCTACGGTGTGAAGAGTAATCCTAAAATGGTGTCAAAATCCAACACCAAGTGGTGTTAATATAACACCATGAATTAGGGTTGAAAATGAACACCAAAACGGTGTTTATCTAAAAATATTTGAGAAGTGCACCTACCCAGAAAAAAAGGAATAGTTCATTAAACCCAGTTGACCCATAAATATTTATATTTTTGTGGATCACGTGATGTTCTTAAATCTCGCCTCTGTTGACTTACATGAAGAATATATAAACTTAGGTAATCCTTTGCTTTGGTGTGACACTACAAGTTGTTCGATACTAAAGAGACCTTAAATAGGTGGAAACAGCTGTCAATACTTGAAGTAGTTAGTGGAACGCACTAAAAACATTATCTCTAGCGAGTTGAAGGTTTCATTTTCTGGAATAATACCACTGGTAATATACTAGTAATGCGTCAAGGAACTTCCTGTTTCCTGTGTACACTTGTTTTGTTCAAATAAAAAATATTGGAATAAACGTTTTTTAATTTAATTTTCCCGACCAAATATCAAGTAATTAACAACATTAAAATAAATAAATCATAGTATTAAAACAAGCAAACATTTGTTTGGTTCAATCACTATATATTTCGTGAAATTATAATATTAAAAGGTACTAATTATTTGTCTGAAATAAATTGTTTTCTTCATGTAAGTAAATATTTTGTTTCTTTAAGAAAGCTTCACATTTAATTTAAAAAATGAATTACTCACTTCAAGTAAATGTTTTGTTTCTTTAAGTAAGATTCTACTAAACCTGAGATAAAAAGTCAACTAAATATTTACTTGTATTAAACAAACCATCAGTTTAAAAAGTCAAATAAACCCAAGTTTTCCACCAAATAAATATCTTCTTGTATCATATCGAAATAAATAATTTATTTGAGTCAAGACAGATATAGTAAAATCAAGAGATTACTTTTCTCTGTGTACTAAAACACCCAACTTAATAGTAAAATGGTTTACTCCTAGCTATAGTACATTTATTTGAACAAATAATTAGAAAAAAATATAAACGAATTCATATTTCATTCCAAATAATTTTTGTAGCTACTTTTACCTCGAGAGAAACGAGACGTGACGAGAAGGCACTCTCGAGCGAAAAAAGAGTATTCTCGACGAGACGAGAGAACCATTTTCTCTCGCTGCACGAGACGAGACGAGAGAATGACTTTTCTCGCCTCGCCTCGTCTCGTCTCGCGGCATCACTAACCGTCCCAAAGCAACTTATATCAAAATTTGGTCAAAACATATTCACTCGTTCTCCTTTAGCGATTTAAATTAAACAGCTAAAATTTTACGAAAAAAATCGGGAAAAAATTACTTGGGCTTGTGTCGCGCACGAAAAATTTGGCCCGACATGTTCAAAATGATAAGCTTTTTTAGCTGAAATAAATGTCCAGGGGGGCATAGGTATGGGTGCCCATGGGTTTTAGTTATAATATAAAAAATATTTCTACCAAATCAATGCTTTTTTAACTCAATATTTAGGTTTATTTATCTTTATAACCTCGTTATTCCTAAGAGTATTAAAAAAGGTAAGTTTGCCATGTGAACATACACATTTATCTACATTTTTATCCAAATTGAGATATTTTTTGCAGGCTATATTTTGAGTTACCACTACTTTCTTTCGTTTTCTTATTTTCCAATTCCATATTGGAATTTTACATGGTAAGATAGAAAATATCAAGGAATTGAAATTACATAAGTTATGGCGGCCATTATAAAAAGATGGTTATGGTGGCCCAAAATTTAGTAGCGAAATATTGGACCAAATTGTATCTACATTTTTTAATGTTTTATGTTCACAAGTAAAACTTACCTTTTTTTAATTTCTAGGAATAAGTTTTAACGATTTTTGGTTTTAAAAGGTTGTAAATTTATTTAAAATATTTTGAAAAAACTTTTAGTAAAGTGTAAAAAACATTAAATGATATTTTCTGTTATTAATTTACAGTAATCCGTGGAAAAAAATACTTTAAGGTTTTAAACCTTATTGTTAACACTTCTTTTAGTTTTTTAAAATTTACTAAATAAAAGGTAAACAGTCTTTTCTTTTAAAACGCACTTTTTTAGGAAATAAATCATTATAATTATTATTATTATTAAGTCATGAATCAGGTAAACCTTTTATGAAATAAGATTTGTTATTTTTAGAAATAATCCTGATGAACATGCTAGTCTTATTGAAAAACTTCAAAAAAATGTCAAATTATTAAATAAAAACCTACAAAGTGTTCTAAAAGATATTGCTTTGGTTCAAGCAAAACGACTTAATGAAACTTGTCCTACTCCACAATATTATTTCTATCACAAATCAGAAGCAGACCCAGATTTTATGAATACTTTTATTAGGGAGTTAGGGAGAAGTGATATATTCTTGTTTTTGTCTACTGGAGATGATAAAAAAGATGGAAACATTGTGTTATATGGAAATGAAAAGGCAGTAGATGATCTGAAAAATTTGTAAGTATTATTTTAAAGTCTAAAAACAATTTTGAAAAAAAATATCGTTTAACCCTTCCTAAGGGTCAATCCATTTCAAAACAACCAATTTAATTTAAAAAGGTTGCTTACAAAGTTTATTTATTTTTTTACTTACTTAGACTTGAAAACAGGTATTAATCAATTTTCGTCAGCCTATTTTACATTTTACAGAGGTTTGCGTTAAACCCTGTAGTTTCTGGGTTTTTAATGATATTAAGTTCAAACAAAATCCACGTTAAAGAGCATAAAGTACAATACTGGCAATTATATAAAGGATTACTTAATTTTTAATAAACAAAAAGATAGATAAAATTTAATGTTAATGTTTTTAAAATAAAGATGTTTTCTTTTACAATTAAAAAGTAATGTAATGCTTTTTTTAATGGGTCTTGAAATATTGCGATTCTAAAATCGGGTATTTTTAATCTTAGATATCTCAGAAGGTACACGCTTAAAAAATCCAAAATTTTCAAAAAAAATTTTTTATTATGTTGTTAAAAGAGGTTAAAATGTCATCACTAATTTTAATTTATTCATTAATTAATTGTAAAAGAAAAATGATTTTTACTTTGAAAACGTAAACATTTACCTACTTTTTTTGCTTATTTAAATTTAGGTAGGCCTATAAATACTGGATTAATCCCAAGGGTACTCATGCGCAACGTGTCGCTAAATGAAATTTGTTATTGATACAGGGTTCCCTCTCACCTGGAAATCCTTGAAAACCTGGAATAGTCAGGGAATCCGTTTAAGTCCAATAAAATCAGGGAAAAGTCAGGGAATTTTGAAAGTCAGCGCAAAAGTCAGGGAATTTGTTAATATTATGGTAAAAGTCAGGGAAATTTATAAAACGGCTTGTTTTCTGACCCTTTTTCGTTGAAAGTCGCCGTATTGGCAACACTGGTATCGTAAACAATTGTTTTCGTACGGCGCCGCCATAACGGCGGTAATTATCAAGGGTTTTACACAAAAAAATTTTACACACTAAAAAATCGCAAAGCAATGCACCTGATAAACAAACGAACAATTAACAATAATTAAAACAATTGTCATAATTAATTTTAAATTGTTAAAATTTGTTGTGCATTGCTTTGATGAATATGGTATATTTGTATAAATGTATACCAAAGAATGTTTTTTATGTTTGTACCAAAGAATCTATTTTATGTTAAACTGTTTTTATTAAAATTTTATTTTAATTTTTATTATAATATTTAATTTTTAAATAAATATTAACAAAAATAAACGCTATTTTTGACTTAACATAATTCTGATGGGACACTATTTTGGGAGATAATTGTCTTTATGTCTTTCTTTTATTTATCTGGAATTATACGGACTTTGGTCAGGGAAAACCTGGAAAAGTCAGGGAATTTTAAATGGTTTTAAAAGAGGGAACCCTGTGATAAGGATGTTTCCTTAAGATAAAGATTGATAACGTCCAAATATATGTGGACGTCAGGGCCGGGCCTAAGGGGGGTGTAGGGGGGGAGTCACCCCACCCCCCAAATCTTGGCAGTTGGTTCCAAATCCAAACACGGTTGGCAAAATCTATAGTATTTGGGTCGGTTGGTTGGGTATAATTGGCAATAAAATTGGCTATAAATAAAATGAAATATAATTTTTAAACTTTACCTACATATTACAAAATTATAATTTTTAATCTATTGTAACCTCCTATAATCGTTGCCGTCAAGAAAATTGTATTGGTCAACCTTATTTTTATTAAAGGGCATATTTCACACAAGCGGCCTGTACAAAGTCGGCACCGCCTCGCGGCTTTGTCTTTGGTTTTGGCGGCGTTTGACTCTTTTTACCTACCGCAATTTTCGGCGTCTTATTTTTCTAGATTATTAATTAGTTGAAGCTTATCTAAGCTAAGTAAAACTATTGTCAATAAATGGGAATTATTTTTTTTTAATATGGAAAAGAAAGCTAGACCGGGCCGAGTTCTAGTAAAATGCTCATTATGTTGATCTGTGTTTAACAAGGACTAGAAAAACATGCACGAGGGAAATATTCACGGTGGAAATTTGGTTAAAATTAAAATTGTTACTGTTCCGGATAATCCACTTACATTTACAGCAAATCAAAAAAATAGAGAACGAGAATCAATCCCATCGACTTCGAAAGAGCATGCTAATGGTAGGTAAAGACATTCTTTATCTAAACTTTACAACACTTCATGATAAAACTACTAAAAAATTTACTATTACTACTAAAGTATCGATAAAAAAATAAGTTGGTTTTTTTATCGTCTCCACCCCCCCAAAAAAGTGTGCCTCGGTACGGCCCTGGTGGACGTTGTGTTATAACGTTGACGTTGGTCTCCCTGATTTTAAAGTGGTTTACCCCTGCTAATTAATAGACATGCAACAATATGGAAGACATTTGTAGAAAATTTTACGCTTTACAAAAAAGGTTTTTACGATTTTTTCGTAAAACCATAAATAATATTGGAGTTCAGTGTTCGAAATAAATATATATTTTTTATTTCATAAGTTGGCTTTAATTTGTTTTTTTTAATTAGGTATCATATTAATTATTTTTTTAGTTTAAAATCAATATTGAAAACAAACATTTTCTGTTCAATCTCGTTTAACCCTGCCTAAACGATAATACTTGAAATTATACATAAAATAATTAAAAATTAAAAGTATGATCATTTAGGCAGGGTTAACATAGAAAACACGCGCAGGTTTCTTTTTCACTTCGTTCATAAGTGCCAACGAGAGCAACAGAGTAAGAGATGCGCGTAGGTCACCGGCCGCCACTGCCTTTCGCCCCTTAATCCGACTAGTTCGGTGCTTACTTTGTCTATAGACGACAGACCAGGGCGCTTCTGGATAAAAGTTTTTGCTTGATTTTATTTGTCTATGGTTAATTTTGATTTTTCTGAAAATGCTGGACTGAACAAATGCTATTATCACAGTGGGGATAAATCTCCAGAATTCTCTACATGAGTCATTCCACGTCAAACCGCACAGCTTTCTGACCACTAGTTCTCTGATTTTAAAATAATTTTTTCTACAGGTTCTTTGGAACAAATGAATAGATAGAACAATTTAGGTCAACCCCAACCAAGACCAGCTAATTCAGATGAAGAAAACGTTGTATTAGATTTTGATTATGAATAATACTTTTTGTTGTAAAACTTCCCAGCAAACACACTATTCCGGCCATGCAACGGCGCATTACTGGGCCATTACATAATGCAATGGCCCATTTATGTGCCCTTGCATGGCCGGACTAGTGTGTTTTCTGGGTAATTACCCAAATTTTAAAAAATAAAGTTTTGTTCTAGTAAAGTAATTGCATTTAAATCATTTTACCACTAAATTTTGTCTTACATGCATGACGATTCAAGTACATTTTTGTAAAAAAAATTAACAAAAAAGCGAAATTGAAAAATTCCTTTTTTTTTTCAAGCGGCCATGATATACAACCTTATATGCATGTATAGAGATAGTTGAAGTACGTCTTTTTCATTAGCGGCAGACAAAAAACTCAAAAAAGCCTAGGGATAGAAGTAAATCCATAGGTGACTCAATAGACGTCAAATAATAAAATTAATTTAGAATTTCATACAAAGCAATCACGATGTATTAATTATATTAATTATAATCGCACGGAATATTTAGTGATTATTTATTAAATTTTAATTGAACGAAATAAAGAACAACTAGTTTATTAGTATAATATAATGATGATAGACGAGTCGCCAATGTCGGAACTCCAAACAAATGTCAGTACGTCAAAATTAATTCAAGCGCAGCATTTTGACAGAGCAGTGTTTATTTTTAGTTTAGGCTTTGTTATCTGTGGTTTAGGATATTTATCGGCATTGTTAGTAAGGATTATAAGTTTTTTTACTTTTTATCAATAATTTGTAATGCTTTTAGCCAAAATTTTATACCACATGAGTTATAAGTAAATAAAATAATTCTATTGCTTATCCTATTTATATTACGCCCTTGAAAAAAAAATTGTATATGTTATTTGGAGTAGAAGCTCTTTTTGTGCTTCGTAAAGTTGCCTGCCTCAGCTACGCTTCGGCCGTCAATCTCTGTACTCACGACAAAAAGAGCCACTTCTACTCCTTATGACATAATCTACTATTTTCTTTATAATCCTTTTTAGTCTTTAAACAAAACTAAAATATTCACAGTTTTTTAAACTCTTTTCTAGAATTTTAAAATTCAAGTTAACTTTAAAGCCATTTATCTCAGAACTAACAAAAATGCACTTAAACCCTTTTACTTCTAAAAACTAATACAAATTGTCATCGCTCAGGAAACTTATAAACAATATACAATCTCGAAAAAAGAAACAAAGCTGGCAGGCTGGCATGCATGGTATGTGTAAAATAATTATGATATTTATACATAACTCAACTAAAAAAGTTTTTAATTGACCACGTGCTGCGGCATGCTGCCTACATAGCCCTCCGGCACACCGGCCCACTTAGCCCTCCGGACCACCGGCCCACCGGGATTTCTCCCGGTGTCCCAGCGGCCCAGCACGCCCCTGGGTGTGTCGGTATGTATAGGACCCATAGTTGGGACTTATGGTTGTTCCATGGGGATATTATTCTTTGATTTATTTGCTATCGGGCTTAATAGTGAAAATACACATACACTGTTCAAAATTTCATGACCATTTTAACACCAAATTAACACCATACATGGTCTATATCGATACAAACCAAAATGGTGTTAAATGTAGTCCGTTAGTCCGGTGTTAATTCAAATACTAAAATGGTGTTAATTTAACTTTCACACAGTATTAAAATAAATTTTACCTGGTGTAAATTGAACTCCTTTTCAGTGTTAAATATTATGTGTTTGTGGTCAAATTAAATCATACTACGCAGAAAAAAGGAAAAAAAAGGAAACAGGAAGTTCCTTGACGCATTACTAGTATATTATCAGTGGTATTATTCCAGAAAATGGAACCTTCAACTCGCTAGAGATAATATT